GAATAAAGAAAGACAAATGTCACTTGCTTTCCAGAATATTCAGTATATCCCAAACATTGTGAAAACAAAAAGGGCCCAGAACATCCTTCCTTGTCCCTCTGCCTCACAGTGGAGGGCCAGTCTAAAGTCTCAGGTTGTCTGAGACAGTGGAGAAGGGGCTTCTCAAATGCAGTGACCTCATCAGGAAGGTGTCGGTGTCTGCACTCCTAGGAATCTGTGGTCCCCATGGGGAATGGAGAGACTGGGCAGGGTCTCAGGACAACTCCCCCTCCACCCTCCAAAAGCCCACCCCTAGAAGACCAAACCATGGCCATAACACCTTGCAGAAGAGCTCCCTGAAGCTGGCTGGGCCCAGCTAGCATCAGCCATATGCTCAGTGATACTGTGCCCTCTAAGTCCCCAAAACCAGTCTCCCTTGTGGTGAGAGAGAGAGGTTCCTATGTCCAAATGCAAAACTGAGAAATGAGGGAGGCAGAGGACTGCTGAAAAGGAACCAGAGAGCAGCCATCCAGTTCCCACCCACGGACACAGACACACACACTCATGGATCAACGTTGTCCCCTCGCTGTTGAGTGGTGATTCATCAGTTAGCTGTTCTTACTCTATTCCTGCTCTTGATGGTAGCACATAGTTCCCTCATCATGTCAAGACTTTCCAAAAATCGTTATATAACCAACCCGAAAATCATCCTCTGGATCCAAGACCAATGTTACTGAGCAAACCAAAAGAAAAGGCCAGCTGCGGTGCTCTGATCAGTCTGCGCCAAAGAGGAAACTGATCCCTTTACTGTTTATGATGTACATTATGTTGTGTACATGTATCATTCTTGGGTAAAGTACAGCAAAATGCTTACCTGAACTTAGGATGCTCTGATTGAATTAAGCAAAGGGAATCTTTTTTTAAATATTTGGGGGCCTGACAAGTTCATCGCCAGGAATTTGGAAATAGAGTTAAATTATAAAATCTGCACATTATGGATCAGGAACATAAGGTCTCCTGAAAGAAAGAGAGGAACTGTTAGACCAGAGCAGTACTTTGGGGTGTGAGACCCCAAAATGAGAAAGAACTGTTCCATGGAGAGGGGCCTGGTGGGCCACAGAAGCATGAAATGGTTGAAGGCAAAGAGTCATGCCCTGGCATGCCAGTGTCCATCCTAGGACCAAATGGGGGAAGGAGGATTTTTAGGTATTAGGCCTCCATTCCTCCAGGAATGATGGACAGGCTCTCCCTATGTGGAGCGAGTGAGCAGAATGTTTGCAGTTAGTTCTTTGATGGCAGGACATAGTGCACCAACACCATGGCTGGGAGAAGAAAACGAAGTTGAGAACCGATTGAGTAGAGAACTTACAGTTGATAGTGGAGGGCAGCCACCCAGGGCCACCCAGGCTTGCAGCTGGGAGTCAGGGGAAGAACGCCCTCAGGCTGTAGGGGCAGCTTACGTATGGCCAGCAGCCGGGGTTAGCTGGTTTCCCAGGCTCCCTGTGGATTAGCGAATTTGAATAATTTCGCAGGTTCCAGGGCATAAGGGCTGTTGCTCATTGTCTGGAACCTGGCCCCAAAAACAGGTAGGGCTGGGGCTGGTGTATCATGTCCTGGACTATGAGAGTCCTAGGGGAAGTGGTTGAGGTGTTGACTTAACCAGTTGCTTAAGGGGAACTGACTGGCCTCTAGCTAGAGTTTCAAAACTGAGTCAAGACACCTCTTAAAAAATAAATTAAAGGGGTGCCTGGGTGGCTCAGTCGGCTAATCGTCTGCCTTCGGCTTAGATCATGATCCCGGGGTCCTGGGATCGAGTTCCCCATCGGGCTCCCTGCTCGGCAGGGAGTCTGCTTCTCCCTCTGCCACTCCCCCTGCTTGTGTTCCTTCTCTTGCTGTGTCTCTCTCTGTCAAATAAATAAATAAAATCTTTGAAAATTAATTAAATTAAAAACATGACATTACCCAGAGTGGTTTTATCTTGCTTCCCCACTCAGATGCACAGGCCTGGGCCCCATGAATGCAGGTGCTATGGAACAGTGCCGAGACTGGTGGGTGATGCGGGGCAGGGGCAGGGGGCAGGACGAACCCCACGGGCCACGGGTTTGCTGACCAAGATGTCAGAGCGTTGCTGTCTTGGATTCAAGTGTTGCCTGGGGCAAGATCTTGCCTGCAGTGAAAAAGAGACATTAGCTGTCTCCACCAGATGATTAGAGTAGTTGGCTAATATCAGTCGTCTACCCTTATGCTTTATAACTGCATCCCATCTATTCTCTTCATAGTCCTTATGATAATTTGTGATTATATATTTATCAGAGATACAGATTACCTTCTTCTTATTATTTATAACCTTGTTAAACATTGTGTTATATATTTGCTTATTTGTGTCCATTTTTCTCACTAGAACATTAACTCCAGTGAAGATGTTATTCTCCAAAGAATACCCAGAATCGGCAATCTGGGATATTTGTTGAGTGAGTTGGTAAACAAACAAACAAAAAGGAATAAATAGTTGAACGTAACTCTCCTCCCTCACTAAGCAATTTTCTAGTCCTGGCAATGTTCTTTTATAGGATAAGACAATCCCCATCACACTGTCAAGAGGGTGTCTGGTATTGCTTATAAAATTTTAGCTTGTGTTCCAGTGAGTGCCTTATTCTTATATGTGGTTTAGTTACCATGGGCCATATGCTCAGGGACAGCCACTCTTTGACCTTTGGCCATGGTAAAGAGTGAGTCTCTATCTAGACCGTAAAACCAGCGGTTGGATCCAGGCAGCATCCTTTTTCACTCTTAGGAAAAGGGGCGCCCCCCCCACCTCCAGCTTTATTCCTTACTTCCCGCTTCTTCCAAGCCATCAGCAAAGTCATTGGACTTGACGCTAACACACGGTTTCTTCAGGTTATTAAGTTAAGTAAAATCTGCTGGAGCTAGAAAGATTGTTCTACATCAGCTTTCATCTTTGCTGCTCACCTGGGAAAAGAGTGATTTTCAGCCATCTTGCCTTCTGTGGCATCAGCACGGAACTGTGACTTGAAATACCAAAATGCCACTCGTGTTTAATGCTTCAGGTGCAACAAGCCTGTTCTATTTGGAATCCCCTACAAAGATAGATATTAACTGAGAATTGAAAATGACAGCAGAAGAGATTGACTCAGAATGGCAAAATGAGCCCACGGATCTACTTCCTCTCTTGCTCCAATCCCTTAAAATATCAGAAAATATATTTTTTTAAGAATACCTCTATAACAGTACTAGAAAACAAGAAATAATAGTATCCGAGACCCCAAAATTGTGAGAAGTTCCTGGCAAACTACAGCAAATAGGGGCACATTCAAGGAGACACTGAACTTATAGCAAATTCATTGAAGAACATGAGGGTGTCTCTAGTGGCTTGATTGCATTAATGACCCAAATTCTTCACCCTTTCCTGTACTGCCCTTTGCCATGGGACCTCACAGTTCCTGTCACCACAGAAGTGGAGCCCCTGTCCCAACCCTTGAGTCTGACCAGCCTCATGACATGCTTTGCCCAATAAAATGAGGCAGAAGTGACAATGTATGATTTCGAGCCTGGCCTTGGAGGCCTTATGTGTTTTGCATGTTTCCATTTGCTGCTCTTAAAATTCTGGCATTGCCATGAATGTGCAAATTAGCCTTCTGGGGTATGAGAAACAGGAAATAGGGCGAAGTCTCCCCAGTCATCCCAGCCAATAGCCAGCCAACACCCAGGCATGTGAGTGAGCCATTGTTTTGTGGCTGTCTGTTACACAGCATTATCATGGCAATATATGACTGATACAGACTCCCAGCTGTATTCATGACACCACATTACTGCTTATAATGAACAATAGGCAGCAACGGTGTTTGACTCCAGAATCAAAGGAACACCTAAACTCAGAAGAAAGGGAACCCATGCCTAAGGGAGGGCTCCTATGTAAGCACAGAAGTCTGAGAAAGACAAAGAACTGTGTTTCAATAACTCTAGACCACAGACCATCTAGAGAGCAGGGGGAGGGAAGGAAAAGGCAGCTGTATTTAACAGGAGAATCAACTGACCTCTCCCTCACCAAGGTTAAGAGAGAGCCCTGCCCTGTTTTAGCCATTGGAGTATGGTAGGAGACTCCAGGCTGCTTGCCTGCTACATTTTCAAGCATCTAAAAATGAGATGCCCCAATCGACACACCCTGCTCTCTTAAGCAGAGCCTGAAAGTAGTCCTTGTATTTGGGAGAGAGACACAGTGCAGAAACAGATGCATGTAATAGCAGAGAAGCTCGCCCAGCTGTCCATACCCATCTACCTCTGTGTTCAGCCATTAATGTAAAGAAACAACCAAGAAATACAGATGTTGAAGAAAATTCCTTGACAAAAAGGAGAAGCGATAAAGAGGAGGCCAACAAATTCTAGAGGAAACAAAGAATTCAATAAAGGAAAGAAATATTGTTTTAAAAACATAATAATATCCTCAGCCAGATCTATTATAATATGACATCCATAACAGAAAGTGGCAAATATGAATAGGAAGCTTCCAGAAATAATAAAGAACCCTTCTCTATATGTAAAAATAAAGCTAATACTGAGGCAACTATGTGGCTCAATCAGTTAAGCACCTGACTCTTGATTTCAGCTGAGGTCATGATCTCATGGTTATGGGATTGAGCCCCGAGTCAGGCTCTGTGCTCAGCGTGGAGTCTGCTTGAGATTCTCTCTTTTCCTCTGGGTCTGCCTCTTCCCCTACGCTCACTCTCTCTTTCTCTCTCTCTCAAAATAAAGAAAAACTTTCAAAAAATAAAGCTAGTATTATTTTTTAAAATACAGCACAGAAATAATACTTGTTTTGAATGTATAACAAAACTATTTTCATGGGTGGGAAGAACTGAGAAAAAGTCATGTTTATTTTACTTCTATTTATTTTAGGATTATTTGTATACATGAAAAACTATTACTTGTGACTCTGAAGTGTCATCTTTTTCCCTCCCCCTCTCCCCACCTTCCCCACTTAACCCGTTCATTCTTCATTATAGGCCAGGAGACATGATTACTCTTCTAGAAGACACCAATGAAGACTGGTGGAAAGTAAGTATTTCTCTTTCTTTAAAAAAAAAAAGAGGGCGCCTGGGTGGCTCAGTTGGTTAAGCAACTGCCTTCGGCTCAGGTCATGATCCTGGAGTCCCGGGATCGAGTCCCGCATTGGGCTCCCTGCTCAGCGAGGAGCCTGCTTCTCCCTCTGACCCTCCCCCCTCTCATGTACTCTCTCTCATTCTCACTCTCTCAAATAAATAAAATCTTTAAAAAAAAAAAAAAAGAATCCATGGGTAACTGTAATTACAACAAATGCTACAATTGTGGATGCATGCCTCTTTTTTCCTTTCAGGGGAAAATTCAAGACAGGATTGGCTTCTTTCCGGCCAACTTTGTTCAGAGAGTACAACAAAACGAGAAGATTTTTAGATGTGTTAGGACCTTCCTTGGGTGTAAAGAACAGGGGCAGATGACACTGAAAGAGAATCAGGTGAGTAAAGCATGCAAGCACATACCAGGTACGACCAAAACAGAGAAATAGTCACTAACAAATATAACAATACACATAAATCTGAATGAATGGGGTCATATTCAAAGTGTTCACTTTGAGAAAAGATAATACTCTGGTGGTATTATGTAGTGTAGTAGAATCTAAACCTGCAAAGCCAGAATGTTAGGAAGCTCCTTTGGTGGTATCTGTTCACAAGAGGAAATGTACATAAAGTTATAGCAGCAGGGTAAGGACATCTATCTGGTCCTGGTCCTTTTCTCTGAGGACCGCTGGTCTCTGATGTGGATACCTACTCCAGTTTGGGCTCTGTGCTGTTTTCCACCAATGCGTGGTTAATTTTTCATAGTTTCTTGGGAATACTTTGTTGTTACTTGCTGAGGATTCCACAGTTCATTGCATTTGCCTCCAGTCACAAAGGCCCTTCTAAGTAAGGTCTCCTTGTCCAGACTCTAAGCTTCTGCCTTTTCACTGGAATCTAAGACACCTTCACATTGCTGCATAAAACATAGTCAGGACATAAGTAACCAGAGACTGTCTCACACCAGTGCCCAGATGTCTCCGTACATCTAATCTAGAGGTGTCTGGCGCCATCTTGCTCTAGTGCCATGTTGAATGTGAGGTTCAGCATGCAACGGCAAATAAATGACACTGTCAATTTCCTGAGAAGTGAGGTATGAACCCCTTGCACATGTATGTCTTCAAGCTCCGTGCTTCTTGCTCCCTCATCTCACTCCTGGAATATTGAAAGACACAAAAGGACAAGACACGCGGTCCGCTCTTTGTCTTAACTCTGCCTCTCTTTGCCTTCTTTCAGCAGAGAGAGGGCTTCCTACTGCCCCTTCTTCTCTGACTCCAGCTTCCTCATGTCAGATCCTATATCCTCACTATAAAGTATAATAATACTCTAAGACCTCCACGTTTGCTCTTGGTGTATTTGGGGATGATATGAGAAATCAGACATTAGAAATTTCTTCTGTCTCCTAATAAAGTCTCACAATTAACTCTGATTTCCAATTTTGGAAGCCAAAGCCTTGACTTTCTTTCTGTCTCCACTTTTGGTATGATAATTCTAATACTTCCTAAGGCAATTAATGCCTCTGGTTGGAAATGGTGAGGTTCACCCTACAAAGAGGTACAAAATGAAAAACATATTAATAATTTTAATACTATCCCAGGGTGCCTGGGTGGCTCAATCGGTTAAGCTTCTGCCTTCGGCTCAGGTCATGATCTCAGAGTCCTGGAAAAGAGCCCACATCGGGCTCCCTGCTCAGCAGAGAGTCTGCTTCTCCCTCTGATCCTCAGATAAATCTTTAAAAAATGATAATAATTTTAATACTATCCTTGTTCAATAGCATTGCCCAAAACACATCTTAAATGTCATTTTTGTAATTGCCTACAAAGACAGTTTCTAAGTCCCATAAGACTTTATATTACTTTATATTTACATTACTTTATATTTGATTTATAACCTTTAAGAACTGGTTTACCTAACTGGTCAACAATTTTATATGCCACATGGAGTGCCAAATACTTGATCATCTTCAAACTAACAAGTACACCCCCAAAGAATAATGATTTACCTTTTCTTTATGGCTATTTAAAAGAAAATTCTTTGTATCTAGCCCCTGATTCACAGAGAAGAACAAATTAATACAGTCCTAGATATTGCCACAGTGATAATTATTAAAAGTATCATCATTATTACTTACTATTTATGTCATACATATGTATTTATAAAGTATATATACCTATGACATTTTACGTGAGATCCCACACATGCCCTAAGAATTTTATTGATTAATTCTTCACTATTTATATTTTATAAATGATGAAACAAAGGCTCATAGAGGTTATATGCCTTACTCAAGGGGGCAAAAACCTGGTAAGTATCCAGGCTGGAACTTCCTTTTTTTTTTTTAAGATTTTATTTATTAGAGAGAGAGAGAAAGAGAACGAGCAGGGAGGAGACAAAGAAGCAGGCTCCCCGCTGAGCGGGGAGCCCGACATGGGGCTCAATCCCAGCACCCTGGGATCATGTCCTGAGCCGAAGGCAGACACTTAACCTACTGAGCCACCCTGGTGCCCTGAGGCTGGAACTTAAACATAGGTCTGCAAACTCCAAGCCAGTGCTTTCCACTGAGCCATGTGCCCTGGACAATGTGGAACCAGCTTTGAGCAGTATAGCATCATTTGCATAGGTTGGCTCCCAGGGAAGGCAAATGTTATAAAGGCAAGTATCTGAGGACCAGAGAGCCCTTTGGGAATAAATTCTTGCTTCTATTAGTGGGTCATCCTTGAATCCAGGCAATGGATTCTCATCAGATGGAGACCCCATCTTTAATGCCACACACATACCCCACACAGCAAACAGGCACTTTTCCCATGCCAGTGCTTCTCCAAATGTACTCAACTATATCTTCCCTGTTCCAAAAACTTGGAAGGTCTTTTGAATGAAATAAATTCAAGAATGATACCCATCTTTATTGGCAAAGTGTTATTAAATAATTTTGCTAGCATGTTTGATTTTTTCCCTCAGAATAATCTTGTGCTTCCCCACTTGAAACTAAACATTGTTTTATGTTATTAATATACAAGTCAGTGAAATCAGAGGCAAATTAAAATTTGCTCAACTTGATCAATTTCTAGAAGCAGAACATCCACTCAGTGACTCTTACCAATTCCTTGGCTGTAGTCCCCAAAATTGTCTTTTCTGTGAATGGGCTCACACCTGCCTTTTCCACTCTCATGGTTGAACTGCCATCTTCCAGGATGGGGGTGGGTAGGGGAGAGGCAAACAATCCAACCTCTTCAATTAGACATGTTCAAGACACAACACAGTATTTCAGCCTAAACCAGGAACCAGATGGATCTGCCCATAATCCTTTAGAAAAGTTCCATAAGCCCTGATATTTCTGAGAGTGTGGTTTGGACCACCTGAATCATAATCACCTGGGAGCTTGTTGAAAACTGGACTCCATCCCAGACCTGCAGAAGCAGAACTTCTCAGGGAAAAAGCAGAGAATCTCTCTCTTTATAAATTCCCCAGGATCAAAGCTAAAGTTTGAGAATGACTTTCACTTCCATTCTCTCACTTTTAAATCCTGTAGTAGTCCTGTGACAACTGAAGGCATTTTTATGTCCAGTTACATATGGATCAACAAAAGGCACTGAGGTCTCTAGCCCTACACAAATTCTCTATTTTCAATCTTTGGCATCAACGTGGCAACCAATTTTGGAAAAATGTCAGCCACTTGAAAGAAAATGTACATTTTAAAGATCTACTATTGAGAAAAATATTTTAAAATTTGGCTCCACTTTAGTGTCCTACTAAACCTTTTAGGCGTAAAATTTCAAAACATGTTGGTCAAAATGAGGAGAGTATAACATAGTAGCAAGAACACAGATTCTAATGTCCTACAGAAATGGATCCATATCCTGTGTGATTTTGGCAAAGTAATCCCTGAATGTCAACATTTTTATCTGTAAAATCGGCACAGTAGCACCTCCCTCTTGACATGGGGTGAGGGTTAAACATGATCCCCTGTGTAAAATGCCAGCACAGTGCCTGGCCATCACCAATGCTTAGCAAGGTCCCCATGCTACCAGCATCATTCAGAGTGAGTTCCAGATTCATCTGCAATGGCCAATGCCACCTGAAATTACCTAGTAAGCATCAGAAAATAGCCAGTATGATATCTGCAACTCTAAAAATATAAAGAGACAAATGCTCTTTAGCAGGGAAATAGAAGAAATTTGATTCTGAAAATAAATGCAATGCATCTCTTTGATCAAATCATATTTCTGCCTCTGGAGTTAATTTGTCTTATAATTATTTTATTATTTTTTTCACAGAGCTCTTATTTCTAAAGAGAATCAAGTAATCCTTTTGTTATGAACACAATTAGGGTTTGCACTAACGCCATAGTATTTTTTTTCATTTTTAAAATTCAAAAAATGTCCTTATTAAATCGACTTTAAATACCATAGAAGTATTTCTTGAAATTCATCCATAGTTCTGCCATCCCAATAGAACTGTTTTTATTGATTCTTTGTGTTATGTCAAAGCTTTAAAGAAAAATAAGCAAATTATTTTTAAATTACAAAACTAAAATGCATTTATTGTGGAGAAAATTTGAAAAATACAAAAAAAGTATAAAGAAGAAAATAAAGATAGGTAGTTCAAGCATCAAGTTATTACCGACATAAACAATTTGGTATATTTTCTACCAAAATTTTCTTCTAATTAATATTTTGGTGTATCATATTCTATATAGTGTTCTAAGTTTGTTTTTTTAACTTAGTCACTAAATGTTTCTCAAACCGTTTTTAACAGTTCTGTAACATTTTATCCCATACATCAGGGTTTGGCAAACTATGGCGTATTGACCTATGGTCAAATCTGGTCCTGTTTTTAAAACAGAGTTTATTGGAACAGAGCTACATTCATTCATATGTGTATTATCTGAAGCTGCTTTCACACTGGAACAGCTGAGTTGAGTGGTGGCAACAAAGACCCTATGGCCTGCAAAGCCAAAAATATTTACTGTTTAGTCCTTTACAGAAAAAGTTTTTCAACCCCTAGTCTAGATGTACAAGAATGTGCTTCAGTATTCCCCTGTTATTGGATATTCCATTTTAATTTTTTTAACTATTGATAATTGCAGCGAACATGTTTAAACCAAAATCTTTTACCATAATTCTGATTATTTCCATAGGATAGACTTTAGAATTTATAGACAAATAGATAAAAGATTTTTACAGTTATTGATACATATGACCAAATTGCTTCCAAAAAGGTTGTGCCAATTTCTACCCACATTAGCTGTTTATGAGAATACTCAGGTGACCACCACATCCTTGCCAAAATTAAACATTACTATTTTTGATGTCTGTCATTTTGATAGCTCAATAACATTTCTATTAATCTGCATTTCCTGGATGGTTAAGGAAGATGAAGTTTTATCACACATAATCAGACA